AAATGTAATATTATTGGCTGATGCAAACTCAAACGATTTTAACTCACGGGGGCTATTCCTAAAAAATATCTCGTAAGCTCTCACTACATAATTCTTCTTGAAATTTTGTAAATACCATAAGCAGCTTGTTGTATCCCAGTTTTGCAGCCATTTCTGATTTGGTTTTATTCTTTATAGATCAAAGTAGAGACATTCTACAGACATTGAAGGATTCATCTTCCTAACTCTACTTCTTTAGCCGCTTTTTTATAGTCTTGTAGATTGTAAGATTTCTTTTACTCTCTCCATTTTCTTCTTGTAATTACGTACCATCTCTGAAGAAGAAGAATATAAAATAAACTTAAGATCAACGGGGTAAGTTGTGGCATTGTCACAGTGTTTCCCCCATCACAAAAATAAAAATAAATAGAAAATAGAAACGGCGGTACCGGAAATCGATCAATCGTCACGATATTTTCTTTACGAATAGTGGAATAAGAGGGCAAAGCTACCCTCTTATTTCACTATTCGTATATTAAGGCTTAAGTGCTGTATGTAGGCATACTATAATTAGATTTTTTTAAAGTGGTAAATTATTATGTAAATTTTCTGTAAATAATTCTAGTAGATTTACACTTATTTTAAAAAACAAAAATAGCTAGGAATGTGTAAGTGATGCATAAAGTAGCCCCATCCAACAAGTACGGTTTTTGATTTCATGTTTTACTAACTAAATAAACAATCGTGTTTTTTATCAATAAATTTCAAAATCACGTGTAAATACTTTATTTATTTATTTAACCTGTGCGTACGCTCATTACGTCCAAACCAATTAAAATGTATGTTGATGAATAGACATCAGCATACATTCATTGACTGTGTGCAAATTATTAAATAGAAAAAAAGTCAAAATTTAAATTTGGGCTTTAATTATTTACGTAAATTCAAGAAAATTGAATTATAAAAGAAATTAAAACAGTACAGGGTGGTCCAAAAGTCAGCTAACTGCATTATAGTATTATGTACTGTACAGTACTATACCTACCTACGTTTAAAATTATATTTTGATGCTCTAAATTTTAGTTTTTTTAATATATAAATTCAATATTCAGTTAGGAGAAGTACAAGAAAATAAATAATAAAACTTTTAAAATATTTTATAAATTAAAAGAAAAAAATATTTGTGACGATTGAAAAATATTTTTTTTAGTAAACTTGTGAATGGTGCAAATTATTGTTAAATTTCTTATTTAATTACAAATAAGCATAAGAAATTTAGAAAATATTTCGGAATGTTTTATCCTTAAAATTCCAGAATCTATTTTTTGACTCGTTTGACTCATCTTGTATAATTTTCCTTGCACCAAATGAATTCGAGTTTATAAACAAATTTAAAATTCGTCAAATTCCTAAAATTTTCTTTAAATAAACAACATGTAGCGGGCATAAAACCATATTAAATTGATAAAAGATTCTAGGTTATCTCAATATGCCTTTGTGATATAAGTTTAATTCAATTTAGACAGTTTTAAAAATAAAATAACTGATTTAAAGTGAATTTATAGCGAATAAAATTGAATAAAATTCAATAATGTTTGCATTAATTTAGAAAAAACAACATAATCTATAACAGAGATGACAAGCCTATTGCTTAACACGTAAGCTATCACACTACTTTTGCCTATTTTTACTGTAAATATTCTTATAAATCGATTAAAAATTATAGAATTTAATTAATCAAAACTAGAACATATAATTTACACCAAGAATATTTAAATAATTCACTTTAATTTATTAAATAATACTACTGCCTATTTAGGTGAGAAATTAGCCGACAAAGTCTCTACACAAGATCTTAGCTGTCGTCAGAAAAACACGTCTCCCTCTTACAGACACAAGTGCTTCCAAATAAAGCCTATAGGCTAAGGCAATAAAATATATGTCTGACTTTTGACTTCTTTTTTTTTCTTGTAAATTAAATGCACAGAATATTTTAAATAAAGGAAATTCTTTATTTTGGGGGTATTAACACTCAAAATAAAATAAAAAATATAAAGATAAATGTCGCAAAACTCCCAAATTCTATAGGAGTAGGCAGGCTACTTAATGAGGAAAATGTAGTGTAATAACAGCCTTATTTCAGAGAAAAAAAGAGAGAATTTTGTGGTTAAATATGCGAAATTTTACATTAAAAAAAGTAATTTACATTTATTCCAATACTTAAATTGCTAAGTGCATAAAATAAGGCAATTTCTGTAAAGCACAACGAATATTCAGCNTATTTTCTCAGACTTAATTACTGTAATAGGATATGCATGAAATTCAGCTAGAATTTATAATGAAAAATATTTTATAAATAGCTGTAAATAGTGATAAAATAAAGGAAATACACGGACAAGAAATAAATTGAGATATTTCATTTTAATTAATAATTTTAATCAATAAGGAATGGTTATTTTAGATATTTTCCTTTAAAAGTCTTAGTCCATAGAAAATTTCTTTAAATTATTTATAACTAATTGTGTAGGCAAAAAGGCTTATCAGATTATTTTCTCTTACCTTGAAATAAACTGGTTAAAATATTGTTTCTTAATCCGAAATACAGCAAGCAGAGAAAGAAAATGATAGATTATCTTCGGGCCTCCTTCCGATCATTGAAACGTTTTATTTAGTCTTTCTTTATTTAATTCCTTGTCTAATATTTATGAGGTCAATGTGTCTAGAAGTCGTAATACATAGAAAAATTTAACACATTAGAAAAATGTGATTTTATTTATAAAATTACCTGTACAGTACAGTACATATTGGCCATTTCTGCCTAAACACATATAAATGCATCCATTAGGGGATCCGGAATTCCTTAGAGTGAAGTGCAGAAAGGGATATATACCTTACAAAATTTTTTACTACCTGAAATGCTTGTTTTTACTGGAGAAAACACCCAAAAAAGAAGTTCAAATGCGCCCTATGTACTCGCTTAAATCCGTTCCTTGATGTGTTTCTTCTACTCAAGCTAAACTCGTGTTAACGCAACAGATGTTATGCACCTAACTGAACTTTGAAAGCGCTCCTTTAAGTCATATATGTTTTGAATCTTTTCCTGATATACTAAAGCCTTCAACTGATAAAATTTAACAGATCTCAGAGATCAATTCGTAGAACCATAACAATTAATCTATGAAGCTGAAAACTGATGATCTAATTTTCCTATATATTGCGACTTTTAGGACACCCTGTAGATTTATTCATTAACAATTTATCCTATATAAATAACCGGCAAACACAAGAAAATTGTTTTTCTAATTATAAAAGTTAAATAAATAAATGAATAAAGAAAACTTATTCAAATAGGCCTATATAAAATTACTTCTCAGGACGTGTAAGAATAGCTAAATTTGAAGGTAAGCATTGCAAATAGGACATTTATATATACAGAAAATATAAAAATATAAGTGGAAAGAAGGAATATGTGGCTTATCGGATGCAATCAAGCTATTGCTTTGTAAATAAATGATCAAGACAAGATCTTTGAAGAAGCATTAAAGATTTAGTTAAGCATATCAAACTTTAAATAAAATCGTTTACGCTTTCATTTATTATAATTTAACTGAGGCAGAGTTAGTTTTGTTAGTTTTAAATTGTATATAATCATTTTTTTTGATAAACTTACTCTTGATCTGTAAGCAAATTGTTCCTATGGTTTTACACTTGTAAAGAGACTAATCTTCTTTATTTTCTAAGTATAATTACGATTTATCATATATGATTTTAAATTTATTAGATTCTGTATTTTGTAGCTTATTATGCATTTTTTAAAAATACGAATTTAGAATAATATAATAGATTCTAAACTTGTATAACCCATTACTCGCGTGCCTATAGCATAACCATTAAGAAGATAGAAATAATCAAGTAAAGTTAAAAAAATTACTGAAAATTTAAGCTTAATTAAGTATTGCGAATATAGAATATAGAATTTTTTAATATACCATTAAAAATTCGATTATATTTTATTATAAATAATAGAGAGATCAATGAGATTGAGTAAACCTTAAAATGTTTTTCTCTATGAACAAAATTTATCCAAGGCTAACGTAACCTCAATTTATGTTTAATAATTTCGTTTTATAATAAAAAAAATATAAAATGCTATTCAATAGATCCTGTTCTATTTATAAATTTTTAAATTGTCTCTGGAGTGAGGTCATCGAAGATAAAAGTGAAGTGTTTCACGTAATCAAGTTATCTACTACACACTTCGTTAAGAGTTATAATAGTCTCTTTATAGTTATAATTTTTATATAATATAAAGTCGATTATTCGGAAAATTCTCCACGAGATTATAATTAAAGATCGTTAAATAATTTTAATAAAAATAATGTTTATTTTAACAGTAATTTCTTTATAACTTATTGGGTTTCGAGTTCGATATAAAATGCTTATAAATTAGCTGAGATTTATTAAATGAATAGAGATAAAGCTTGCTTATTATATCCTATTTTCTTTCTTTAAAATATTATTTTTAATGATATAATTCTATATTTAAGTTTACTTGATTGTTTACTACTTCTTCCTACTGAATTAAATATCGAGATGATTTTCTTAATATATAATTATCAATTAATTAATTAACAAATATAATTTTATAGTCGTTAAATTGATAAATATCGTATTAAAATAGAATTTTTAATTATATATTTTTCAAAAATTCCATTGGTATATTATAACAATTATAAAGATATTTGGAATGATTTGTTATTTTTAACCGATCGAAACGTTTAATGTAGCAAAGTGACATATTTGGGTCAGAGTTTTCGTGTGAAAATCTCCTTCCATTAGGCAATCCATTCATTTCTCACCTTCTACAGACTGGTTGACGAGAGTGTGACGTCAATGCCCGAACGAAACGATTGGACCCGAGTGAAGCACGAGCTGTGGCGAGTATAACATGTGACAAGTGAAGTTGTCTCTTCACTGGACTTTAATTGCTGCATGGCGATCAGGTTAGTGCCTTATACAATAATTATTACACACTTTATTCCTACTTATCAATGTTTGATCTCTCGGATAAATAAACACATACAATTCGATTTTCTTTTAGTTTTTAATTATAAAAACACATTTAATCCTTAATAGTTTATTCGGATAATAAAAATTCGATTTATAAGCTAATTATTTATTTATTTTTTACTCCGTTTCCATTATTTAACTTAATGGAGACGTAGAGTCTGCATTAAATTGGCCTAAAAATACAAGTTTAGTCTGAGAAGAAAAAAAAAACATGTATTTACATAAGAAGTGGGTGGAAGAGGTTGCAGAATTGTTAAATTTATTCTGTAAAATTAATTATTTTCTATTTAATTTATTAATTAGATATTTGAAAAAATGAAGATCGAAACAGAAAGCGAAGAGACGAGAAAATCGGCAAATTCTCGAAGACACGAGAAACCTCCCTATTCTTACATAGCATTGATAGTGATGGCCATTCAGAATTCGCCAAACAAGAGATTAACTCTGAGTGAGATCTATCACTTTCTTCAACAGCGTTTTACCTTTTTCAGAGGTAGTTACCAAGGTTGGAAGAACTCCATACGTCATAATCTTTCTCTTAACGAATGCTTCGTGAAGTTACCTAAAGGTTTAGGAAGACCAGGTAAAGGACATTACTGGACTATAAATCCTTCCAGCGAAATATTATTCGAGGAAGGTTCCTATCGAAGAAGACCCCGAGGATTTCGAAGAAAATGCCTCAAACCTTATCCTTCGTCTCAAATGAACTTCAATTCTGCACCCGTTCAAGCCGTCAACGGTGCACAGAATTGTTATCAGTCTCATTCTTTTTATGATTCCAAGCAGAAAGAAGATGTGAATTATTATTCCGTCCAAGAATATTATCCGGAATCCAATATATATCCAATTGGAAGCCAGAATTCGGATGTGACTTGGCAAAATTATGCTCCTTTAGAAGCGACTGGATATCAGGCAGAAATTGTAGGACAATACAACGGAGAGGACTATATCAGTGGTAAGAATGTCGCAGTGAATTCGCTAATTAACAATATTAAATTATATTTTAGTGGCCTTATATGCTTTATTGTCTACGAAATATTTTTCTTAAATTTCAAGCTAATGCCTTTCTCCCGTATATCCTATTTGATAAACTGTACAACGATAATTAGAGCATCAAAAATTAATTAAAATGGAAAACATAATCTTACCGACTGTTAAATTTAGCAGAGAATTTTCTACTAAACTTACTTTTAGATAAATTATAGAAGAGTGAATTATTACAGAGTATGAGTATAGTATTTATCGTTAACAGTTTAAAATGGCGGTGATAATGGACTCAAATCTAAAATATAGAGGAAATAAATTACCTAAATTTGATGTTTTCACAGTTAATCCATAAGTTAGTCGAAGCAGACTTCACTTAGATAGTTCTAGCCAAAATGCACGCTTATGTCTAATTTACAACGGTAAATACTGACAGACAATACTTGTGTGGGCGGTCATGTAATTGCGATATGCGATCTTCTGTTTACTCGAATACAAAATTATTCAGTTTCTACTTTCTAACTAAACTTTAAACTGTAATGGAGGACTAAAATAGATTCCGTTACATTGTCTTTCTTCGTTATATCCCGTTTCACTCTTGAGAATTTTAATCTTTGTTAAAGATAGAACGAGAAATATTAAATTATCTTCTATATTTTTGCGATTTTTTTCGTCGAAATTTATTTTATTTTTCGATTATTTAAAATAAGTTTGAAGAGATGGAAAAAAACCTCTCATCTACGCGCAAATTTTGTAAATATTTGAAGTACTTTAAACATATTAAAAACTTCTTGTTGTTAAGAAGTTTTTGAAATTATCAACCAGACCTCCTTCTTAGAAATTCTTATCCTGGTGTTTGTCAACCTTCCTGACAATCGTTCGATGACCTGACAGAGTTTTGTACAAAATCCCAACTTACTCAAAAATCTTTTTTTTTTTTAACTTCTAAAACATCGCTCGAAAATACTCAAGAGGGGATTAAAAACAATATTTAACTGTTTAAATTAAGTAGTCAAAGTTGCCGAGAAGATTTAAATCCCATTGTGTAAGACATAGAAGTCATTTGACTTCAAATAGTAAAATGTATTTGCTTCACAGAATGAATTGTCTGAACGACTTTTAAAAGAAAAAAATAAAAAGTATCTTCATAGCAACGTTGGCTTCGAGTTTAGTTATGCTTCTATAAGTTAAAATTTCCCATAAAATATGTTATATCCTGACATAATTTACAATAAGTACACGCCGAAGACGGGTTATATTTAGTTTTGAGGAAGGAAAAGTGGAGAAAAAATTTTTTTCGAATACAATGTTGCACTGGAGCCAGAGCTGTGTTGTGTTTCACATACATCCGGTTTTTAAGTAAAGCAAAAGAGAGTAAGCTAAAACGGAGACAGTATGAGAAATGAGAGAGAACTTTTAAAGCGACTACTAGCTACTGTAAGCTTATATCTTTCAGACTTAAGCCATACATCTTTCCTTTATGACTTCCATTTTCAGTCTATGACAAATTAATAACACAGCTGCAACCCCTTATTACTCCGAAATTTGGGGACTTTACCCATTGAATCATAACAAATTAGTTCCAATAACATTTACTTTCTTTCCAATTCTCATAGCCTGCTTTTATATATATAAACTTACATCTAATCATAACAAAGAATTTAAGAAAAAAATCTTATATTTTTATTCTCTTCCAGAGTCTATATTTTATTTTATTAAATATTATTTTTGAAAAATAAATTTTTTTTATATCTTAATTGTTTTTTTTCTTTGTTTAATACTGGAAAAAAAGGGTGGAAATATAAATATTTGCATTAAAATACTCATTTTTTTAAAGTAGGAACGACGTTTGCACTTAAGTTAATTTACGCTTACGCATTTAAATATTTAAGTGCGGATTGATTTAATTTCCAGAATTAATTTAGGAAATTGTTATCTGAGTATTTTTTGGCAAAGATTTCTGATGACAATTTAAAATTCGGCAAACCTTTCGTCACTTGTGTAGGCAGTTCTTACCACTCGATGTGTTCCTTCCTCTTTATTCATTACAAACAATCATTCGGGAGCAAAAAAAATCCGCATATTTAATCGAATTTAAATATATTTTAACCATAAAAAAATTCAAATTTCGATTGAACAATCCGTTCTGTCCGACAGAAGCTAGGAAATTTTGACTTTTTTATAAAAATTCTGGCTTAAATTTTAACTTTCTACTGGCTTCTAAAAGTGGATAAATGAATTCTTGCCCTTGATTCTTTTTTTATAATCAAGAAACTGCTTACTTTTAACATTATAAAGTTGTTTAGTGGTGCTAGCAAAAATACACACTTGGCCCTTGGGTGGTCTGACTTTCCTAATTAAAAACAATTTTTTTTTTTAATAAAATAGTAGTAATATTTACTTATTTAAAAATAGAATTTGTTAATTAGTCTTTCACACGGAAGCATTTTGGCATTGTTTTCTCCCTTCTCGATATCAGCTATCCATCAAATGATTTAACACTGTCAGTCTTATTAGAACTATTAGCAGAAGTATTATCGCTGGGAAACTATCCAACTGACATTTTGTAATGTGATCTTTACCAAACTCCACACTCCAACTGGATACTCCAATTACAACATTGCTTCGCAAATAACATAATAGATAGATGCCCCCAACCTTACATTATAATTTCTTGCCAGAAAAGTGCGATTAATTTTGTTACATCTCATTTATACGTCTATCAATTATTTTGTCACACTTAAAGTCTGTAAAAACTTTATGTAGAATATCGAAAATAATATTTTTAACTATCGAGGAATTTGATAATTAACTTCAGTTTTCAGATTCCTCTCTTGTGGTTTTCAGAAAATAAGTCGTTTATATTTAAAATTTTACGTGAAAAATTCGAAGAAATGCTTTCTTTTAAGTATAAGACATGTTTTTTATCCGATTATTCTTTAATCATTGATGGGTAACACATGCGGTAGCGCGTTATAGCTTAATAGGGCCCAAGCAGATTTGAATTAGGGGGACATTATGTACAGTACGGTGTTGACTTCAGACATTTCTCTTCAAGGGAATTTTTTGGGGAAATTATCTTCTTATGAAAGATTGTATTGAGGTTTCCTGTTGTGGTGCCCCGGGCAACTTTGCTTTTTGCCCATAGGATAACGCGCCACTGAACATATGGGCGATCTCCCAAGGGAAGGATGGCTTTAGGAAGCACTTCCTATGTGAACTGGTTCCTGTTTAGGTGTTAGACACGTGCAGAAAGCCGGAAAACTCTACCGTTGGTCGGGTACGAACCCACGACCGCTGCTCGGTAGTGTTATCCATTCGGCTCCAGTAATTGAGAAGTAGATCATTGGCAAGTCTATAAAATCTTATAATCTTTTAATACTTTTAATTAATTAATTATAATTTATCTTTCAGGTGTTTGTCAACCTTCCTGACAATCGTTCGATGACCTGACAGAGTTTTGTCCAAAATCCCAACTTTCTCAAAAATCTTTTTTTTTTTTTAACTTCTAAAACATCGCTCGAAAATACTCAAGAGGGGATTAAAAACAATATTTAACTGTTTAAATTAAGTAGTCAAAGTTGCCGAGAAGATNCAATTTTTCATAAACATGCGACAATAAAATAAAAAATAATTACTTTTCTAATATAATTACATATAAATGAATTTTTTACACGAAAAAAACGGATCTTAATACTTTTATGCATATTCAATAATTATTAAAATATTTTATAAGAATTTAGTAAACTTATTTAACAAGCAAAAGCGCTTTTTAATACTCTTTTTGGACACTAACGGGGCCTTTTTTCCAAACCCATGGTGAGTTAGGCAGGCCCACAATAGAGAAGTAGTAGGCCCAACATCCGAGATCCATGAAAAATTCTAGAGAGTTGCTGGCCGGATTTGATTTCGGGTCCCCAAAATAGTGGGTTTTTCTCTTTAATACCTTCTGTCATACGGTCGTCAACAAAAATATAACTTATATAGGTTAACTTGTTTATAAGGTGAATAATAAGGTGAAAATGATGTATAAATCCTAGACTTTTTTTATGCAATCAACTGCTAGAGTGAGTCTTCTTGTAGCTAAATTTTCATATTGTTTCCATCATAATAAAAAATATTCTTTAGTTTTTAAGGAATAATCTCTCGCGTATCTCTTATATAAGTTAATAAAATATCTTAAATTTTGTAATTTATTTTTTAAAACTTATTTTAATTTATAAATCGATTAAATTGAATTAAAAATGGCGGAATATTTATTAATCAACGTTATTTTCTTGATCTAAATTATGTTAATTAGACTATATATTAATTTAATTATAATTAAAATTTTTAATGGCTTACAGTGATTAAAATATTTTTAAGATATTGTAAATTTGTATTAGAATCCTTTAAAATCGAAGGCAGATTTCTTGAAGGATTCTTACGACACATTTAAGAGTATGTTTTACATTTTGAGAAAACAGTAGGAGGTGGAACTTGTTATCGATGTGAGAGCACATTGTTCGAATTATATTCGGTGTGACTATCTGAAATAACTCGGCCACTACACCAAAGATCGTGTTACTCGATAACAATGCTCTTCAGTTCTCTACCTGTATTAAGCTTTGTTGAACTCTTTCTATGTATCATTTTCCTTCAACAGCACGCTGCTGCTGTTGTAACCATCAGCATTTATGGCGTAAGTTTCATACACAATTTATCAAAAATATCCGACAACATAAGTTATTTTATAGCTGCCACGCTGGTTATTTTGTCTTCCACGTGAAATTTTAGTGTTTGAAAGAAAAAAGCTCGCCTAAATTTAACAATTACTTGGTCTTAAATGCGCTTTTTTTTTTCTCCCTTAGTAAAACAGCGTGTATTTCAATGAAAAGAATTTATTTCCGGTGTTACTTGAAAGAATCCGTGGTAGAGTTTGTAAGGAACTGTTTGATAGAAAAACTTATTCCCCTCTGCTTCAATCAAAAGACAGATGGTTAAGGAAAAAATAATTTACGGGCCCATTTCAAGCATATCGTGTGTCAAACGTGTTTTTTAACTTAGTTTTTTTCAGAAAGATTTCTTTCATCTTTTAACTTATCTTGTTCTGATCTCAATAAAAAGTAGATAAAACTTGACGAATATGTTGATAGAAAATTATTTTATACACCTGTCTTTCCTGTTTTCCAATTTAAGACGGTAAGAAAAACAAAGCGCCATTTTTCTTCCATTTTCAATGATGTAATTCACAATTGTTACGTAAATTTATACTCGTTAACTTCATTAATTATAAACGTTTTTGTTCTGTTTGAAAAATTATATTTTAATTGCTGTAGTAAAATTTAATATTGTTAAAACTGAATACATCTTTGATTAGACAGCATTATACACGTATATAAAGGCCTTAACTTCTCATACAAAGCCTGCAAATGTGAGAAAATATAGAGATATTAAACTATCTTTATTCATATAAATCTATATAGAAGGCTTTATATGTGATTTATAAGAATGGAGAGTGTATAATTTTATTAAGATTTAATTATAATATTTTATAAATTAAAAAAACAATTTACACTTTTTCAGGTCCTTCATGGCAAGGGAATCGAATGATGCACAATGCTGGAAACAGAAATACCAACACAACTTCGTTCGCTACTCCTCTGACGTCACCGACAGTGCCGTTTTACGATCTGAGATATGCATCATGACCTCATAAAATTCGTGTACAGATTAAGTTGAAGTTTTTATCTTTGGTGTAGAGGATATGTCTAGATTTGAGGGCTCGTGTAGTTCTAGTCAGTTAAGCACCCGTATTTATTTTCTGTAGATATAGTAGTATCTATATGATTAAAAAAGAAACAGCATTATCTGATAAATAAATGGTGGTTTAGTTCTGTTTAATTTAAATAAATTTAAGAAATGGTTGGGATAAATAGTGTTGTCGTTCTGCTATCTGCCTCTAAGTTGCGGTCCATTACCTAGGCTACTACTGTGTCGCTTCTCGTGTATCTTCACCTTCTTTCTGTCTGAACAACGATTAATGCGCATGATCCGAATATAGTGATGTAATTCATCCCATCTGTTCCTTCTCCACCACGTGATCTACACAGGAAGTGAATTTTTTTTCTTATTTTAATTTTTTCTTTCTTTCTTTGTCAACTTTAATTTTTGTACCGACCCCTTAAAAAGGGCTCAAAATAAATAAACACTTGAAGTTCATAAGTGCTTATGTGATTCAATTCTGTTAAAACACAAACTTTTCATTTTTATATTCTCAATAGGAATGTTCTAATACAAGTCTATTTTTAGACATTAAAAATCGGTGTTTAGAATACTTCCTAAAGCATATAATTGTAGAAAATAAATAATAAATCGCTATTACTTCTATTAAAACGTGTAAAAAAAATAAAATTTTACGGTTTATTTTTTAAGGTAAATCCATAAAATATTTGCTAATTACTATCAAATATAAGAAGCGAATTGGACAAGGCACATTCACTTGTATTAATTCGCTACATTAATAGAAATTTCATAAATAAAATATATATTTTTTAGTATATATATCGTTGCTTAAAAACCTGGATTTTCCAATGGGGTTTGGTATTGATCCCTTTAAGGTTCGATGAAGCTTTCAATATAAAAATTTATTTAAAAATATTAAAAGTTTGCATGTTTTTTGCTCTTAAATTACTTAGAGATTATAACATTAATTAATTAATATTGTATAAAATATAGTAACTTATATGGGGGTCGATACATGAAAGAGGTTGGAATCCCCTACTCTTTATGTATTAATTAAATATTAAATTATAAATGCTCAAAAATAAGTTATAAATTCACAAAAGGTTTGCAATAAGTTATAAGGAATTGTGATACAAATTAAGCAAACTATTACACAATATACATTCATTCGGTCTTTTTAAATCTCCGTTCTAGGAAAATAACCTATTAAAATTCATTGTTACTAAATCTAGAAATTATGAAATTAGTTCCGGTCATTGCGTTGGAATTTTTAAGTAGTTTTACTAGAAAACTGTTAACAGATTCTTAATAATAAGTTTGTCCCGTTTTCATCTCGACTCTCTTGATAAGAGACAGATATAATTACTGGAAAAGTGTAGGTGTAAGCAATCTATATTTTTAAACATAAATGTCAGAAATAATATATATATAAGGAGCCGTGGTGATTGTGTGCCCAAGGTTAATACAAGGTCCATTCATAATTACCGCTTTAACAACTGAAAATAAATGTGGCGTACATAATCGTTTATTAAATCCCGTGGTGCTAATATTGGAAACAGTCTGACTGAACTTAATAACAGTTCCGTGCCGAAAGTATCGCTTTTCCATTACAAAAAGAGCCTAAGATACTATAGACATCGCTGACTCTCCACTTTACAATGATAAATAATCGCGTGACATAATGTTCGCTTACGTTTTTTTTTATCCGAGTTCTATGCTTAGAATAACACTAATTTTGGAATAAACTGATGAATTTATTCCATGAGTTTCACATGGAATAAACTCATCAGTTTTCATTTTCATTTTTAAGGGGTCTTCCATTAATTGCGTGTACAGTTTAAGGGAGGGAGGAGTCACGAAAAGTGCTTACGGATGGGTAGGGAAGTTGTCCAGGCACTTTTTAAATGGTATTAGTGGCATACGACTTTGTTCTTACAAGCCTACTTACTACTCGTGTGAATAAATTACTATAAAAGATTTGTAGAACTGTTTTAAGTTAATTTTTCAATGTTGGAGGACCCACGAACTACCGTATACCTAATTGGGGTGGGGCTTGTCTAAAGTACATCATTATACAGTACACGACACGGAGGGAGGGGCCAAAAATGATTCAAAAAGTGCACACGTAATTAATGAACGGCCCCTATTTTCTAAATGCAGAAAATGTTTCTGTATAAATGCGCAATATTTTTTAAAAGAGCACCATTTTTAACGTGATATTTTTGTATTAAATTTAATTTTGTCAAAATTTAACAAATCAATTTTGTTCAAATTCTGTCAGGAATAAAATTAATCGTGATAATCCGAAGCATTACGAGATTATCTACTTTAAAAACCATTTATTGTTACATTACAAAAGCCGAAATGTTTTAATACTTTTTAAGTAAAAGAACAATAATTAAAATACTGTAGAACAAAAATGAATTTTTAATTCTTATTTATTTTTATAATGTGTTACACACATACACATTTATAAACGACTGATTTAAACTAAATAATAAATTGGCGTTTGAATAATTGAGTTAGAACCCATAGAAACTTCATCTTGAATTATCTGAAAATAATATTAAAATTTAATTCCAATAAATAATGAATAAAATGTAATAAACATAAGTACAATGCTATATCAAGTTGAAACGTTTAATATAAGACTTATATAATATTAAATATGCCGATAAGGATTTATACCTTAATTAATGAACTTATACAAGAATTTCCATTAGATTTTCTGTTACTTTAGCTTATCTACATAAATTAGGATGCATAAATATTCTGAAAATTAATATTTTTCAATGCAATTATCATTTACATATTATAATGTGTGAATTTCAAGAGATTTTTACTTACCTGAGTGGCAAGGAATTCTTCAGGATAGAAAGAAGAATAGCACCATAATTGTCAAGAAGGATTGGTAATTTTCGTAGAACAAAAATAACATGCGTTAGAACAAAATTGTCCAAAAGTAAACTGTTCGTCCACCTTACATTCGTCTTGCTGCTTTGGCTTGAGAAGATTTTCTATAGAAAATGGATTGTCATTCATTTTCGATGTTTTGGATTTACGATAATTTTTCTCTTTCTTTTTGCCATCCTTTCTTCCCTTACGCCTGCAGAAAATTCCATTTTCGATTGCAAAATCCGAAGTGTGATTTAAAGTCCAATAGTTGTCTTTGCCCCAAGGTCTCTGAGGATCTTTGAGGATCTTGCGAAAACAATCGTTTAGAGATAGATTATGTCTTATCGAGTTCTTCCATCCGGTATATTCTCCTTGAAAAAATGAAAATTTAGTCTTCAAGTACTCATTTATTTCGGCTAAGGTAAGTTTTCCGCTAGGAGAATCTCTGATGGCCATGGCTATCAAAGTTATGTAAGAATAGGGAGGCTTTCCTCTTCTATGGTAATTCCTCTTTTCCTCTTGAGAAGTCGATTCTGATATCTGCACAGTCGACATATTAAGTGAAGAAAAATCTGCTTAAACCCTCTTTTATATAACTCCATCTTTAAACGTTTACTTAGCATCTGGCGCTAATGGTACCTATAATCTTTCCACCCCAATGGCGGGTAAAATGATACTGTTTGCACCATCTTTTGTACCCTCAACTGGTTTGTCTAAGCAAATGGATTCTGTGTTGACATGTACGCAGGTGCTGCACCGATAGCTGCATTAGTACATCATTCCATGCATGTCTGGACCTGTCAACTATTAATGGTTTCAGGTTTCTCCATGACGTTTCTCTTTAAGAAAATGGATTCTGGCAATGCTCTCTAAATTAAACTTTCGTGTAAATTTTAAATTTAAATACATTAAACTATACAATTCCTCGATTAAATTTGGAATTTGAGAACATTTACTAGAATTTGGGCCAACTTCAAATTATAACTAACAGATGGCGCCACGTCGGAATTTAATACTTTCTTGATGTATTATTTAATCTATTAGTTATTATTTTAAATTAAATGTAAAATATATGTAACTTCGATGTAATTAGTATATATTCAAAACGAATATGAAAATAATGCAAAATTTAAAAAAATAAATAAAAATAACAATTAACTGATAAATTTTATTGATAAAACGTTTTTAAACCTTTTAAACAAAATTAATATTTTAATAATTCATTTATAAATGATCGTATAATTAAAATAAATAAAAATATTCAATTAAACAATAATACTCATTTTTGTAAATAAAAAAATAGTATCATTTTTTATCTACAGATGGCGAGAATTTCTATAATCAAAACGAGAATTTCGAACGAAACGAGATATGCCGTTAACAAAGATGAGAAAGTCACGCCATCTAATGACGAAAATCACAACAACACATAACGAAAATAATTTAATCAAGTTATAAAAGCATTAAAAGTTAATAATTAACTACATAAATGTAAAAAAGAAAATCAAATAAAAATTTAATAATTTTCTTAAATAAAAAAAATTAAAAAAAAAAATAAAAATGTTATACTTTTCGCATAATCGCTCTCTTCATCAAATAAAGGAGCTCGTTTTAATTCTGGAAAGAAGTCGGATATCGAGTGGGCATCTTCAGTCATTGAACTCATCAGTTGCATCATTGCCGAGTGTTGATATGACAGTACGAGCGCGCCTTGAATCTCAAATTACGGAATAGCATTAGCTGAATTTATTACCTTAAAGAAACCTCCTACCGATAGCTAGTCATTATTAACAGGTTCTGCACGCCACACCTGTTGAAAGTCTCACATCATCCTCGTATCGAAAAGTTACCACCCGAAATCCCATCGCCTGAATTCTGATGTACTGTACTTTTCTAACACTTCAAGGCATCGCTTGTAGCATTTAACTTTTCAATTGATAATATTTCTAACAGTTTTCTTTTTAATCGCCAGATGGCGAAACTAGTCTCGAATGAAAGTTACATTTCCGCCATTTTTTTTTCCTGTAAAATGTCTTCTTAAAAAATATATAAATGATACTTAAGTAGTAACAGGAATCGTGGAAAAAATACATTAACTTATCTTAATGTTTTCTATTTTTTTTTAATGAAAAAATAACGTTTTTAGTTACTCATATAACTTATATCTTTTTTTTCAATAAAATTTAATGAAAGTAATGTGTTTCTGTATGGCTACAATTGATATCATTCAATTATTTTTGTATTATCTTATTGTCCAGATTACAGATTTAAACAAATCAAACGTAAAAAACAATAACCACATTTTAAATGTAATTTTTTTGAATATTTTTTTAAAGGTACCAAATTTACTCACGCAGACACGATTTTATTGATGTAACACAGCAATAAGTTTGTTGTAAGATGGAAAATATTAAGATCATTTTATACAAAATTAACATTTTATGAGTTTTGATCTAGGATATTTAACGGCATTTCTTATTGTATCCTGTGGGAAAAAAAATAAAAACAATAATAATAATAACTTCCTTTAACCAGATAACAGTTGATTTTCGGAAGCAGAATTAACCACTGTTAAGCGCAATCTGATAAAGGAGAGATCCCAATAACAAACGTCGATTCTTTATGTTGCATGAAAGTTCCAGCTAACTAGATTCGAAAATGAATTTCCTAGTTAACAAGGAAATTTATTCTTCCAACGTCCCTCAAATACAGTGTCCATTTCAGTAAGCAATTACGAATGGCAGAGACCTTAACTTGCAAAAGAACTGGAGAGTGATTTGTACTGTTCGATGATGACTTGTTCCAGCGCATTATGATGAAGGAACTAAACCAGAAGGTTTCTCAACACTCTTTAAGACCTGTGAAAATAAAAAACCAACATTCCAGCAGAGACACTCCGGTTTGAACGGAGCTGGGACACCCATGGTGGGTGTTAATGAGGGGCAGTCATTCCTTCAAGCAGACCTGTCGTCCGTCATGTTCTGAAACAACTGTGATTAAGCCAATGATTTACTGGTCTGTAAATCTCCACGGCCACCGCCACCATCTAAATCAAGATGGCGCAGTTCAGATGTCTGCTTGTAAGTGGAGAGTGATTTGTAAGTGGAGGGGTGTGGATGGCAGGCACGTCCTATAATGTCCCGTTTGGAAATACGATTAACTAACTATTCTTTATTTCTAAAAACTCTTTAATTAGACAAATTATTTTAAATATATCTACTTAATAGCATAATTATTTTCTATTAAATTATTTCTGCAATAAGATCAAACTGCCACGGAATATCCTCCAGAGAATACAGATAAGAAAAGATTAAATTTCTTATTGAAAGCATATTTTCATGAAGATAGATAATGGAAGTTGGAATTTTTAAATATAATTAACATTTTTAAAGCTTATAAAACATTGTAATGTTTTCAATAATAAGTTGATTACCGCAAATTTCATAAAAATTTCTGTACTATTCAAATAAATTTCATACCATTATCGAATTTTAATAAAAATATATTTACTAATAAACCAAAACTATAACTCTACATTTATTTTTAAGCAATAATAAAAAGCACAAAAATTCCTTCCTCATTAAATAATTTGAGTATCATTATTCTACCATTTTCTTTTCTTTTTCTCTTTCATTTTTCATTTCTAGAGAGTTTGAGAGCGTGTGATTATTGCTGTATTTCAAGAACTGTAATTTATCAAACGACAAATGTGTCGCGTGATTTTTCTAACTCTGACTCAGTTTTTGTTTCCTTGACACTGGAAAAAATATATATAAAACTCGACAGTTTACGACATAAAAATCATTCCAGGCCTATAAATTGTTTAATAACAGATAACATTTTTCGATTTTTGATTAACTTATATATTACTTATTGAGAATTTTTATGTTTTGAAAATGAAGAATGAAAACCTAAATCAAAAGAGGTTAAGAAACTTTCATAAATTTTGTTTCATACACGAAATGGAATGGTTAATGACTTTCTCAGCGTGAAAATTTCCCAATTAATAGAAGATTGCGTGAGAGAACAACATTTATTCTGACTTAATAGAATGCCCCCGGTTGATGCCAAGGGCATTTTACATCATGTTTCCTTTGATTCTTGTTTGTAAATATTATCATAAGTGAAAGATGTTGCAAAGTTTCAACGAATTCATATGTAAATGATCGCAATAATTAAATTTATTTTATTATAGTTTCACACCTGACTATTTTATCAAACGGGATTTATTAATATGGCGTCAAGCTTACTCGAATTAATTGATTTCCAGATAAGAATCGAATACATCTGTAAATTTTTTACATGAAGTCATTTTTTATAAATCTGTGAAAAACAGAATTTAATAAAGATGAATTCGCCTATAAATGGAACCATTAGATATTTGATGACTTGAGGAATTTACTGCATCTAAGTGATTTGGATTACATATACAAACTGTACGGTAATTTCGGAAACTAGGCATATACTAATGCGAGATCGGAGGAAAAATATGCGTTTTGGGAAGTGCAATCACCTCGCTCTAGGGTAAAATGGGCAGGGTGCCAATTTAACTCAAATTATTGATTTGGAACCTCGAAGCATATAAAAAAAAAACAACATCAGCATCTTAGAAAAAATAATTTCACATTTAACAGGTCTTTGTAAGCTTATCAATCGATTGAGAATTACGATAAATATTTAGAGAATAATTGCAAATTGGTGATGTTTTCTTATTTAAAAAATATTAGTTATTATCGTTCACAATAAATTACAGTTTTTCTTATTATTCGAACAGGACTTTTCAGTTGTCAGATGTGTTCGAAATTCTTCGGTTCGTAAGCAGTAGCGTAACTAGTATTGGTATTAAATTAGAAACTGCAAACCTACATTCATCCTTGTATCACTGTGGATGTATCAATAGCGCCGTGAATGAAAAAATATAAAATCTTAGATATTGTATATACATAAGTATAAGTGTGTTTGCCACATTCAAATATTTTTCCTTTACTTATTTTTTCTTCAAGTTCTTCAAGATTTATAAAAGTAAGAAGCCCCGGACACCCGACATCCTCTGGTTACCCTGCTGTTTATGAATGTAATTAAGATCAAATTCTTTAATTCTTTTCACGAAAAGCTGGTGACGTAAATAAGGATTGTTATAATTATTATACTGATTTCAAAATTAAAAAGAAGTTATTCCTTTCTTAGTGTCTTTCAATGTTGTTTATTGTTTACTCAGATCTAATATAATAAACTTAATTTACGTATAAACATGGAAACGATACATAATTCATTTGAAAAATTCTGTTAAAGTTCTAACCACAATAAAAGTCGACATAATAAATGACATTTTAAGACCTATTTTTCAAATTTTATTTATTTTTCCCCCCTCTTTAATTGTCATTTAATTATAAATATCGATGAGATAATATTCGTTTATTCAGAATAATGCTATAAATACGATAAAAGATAAAAAGGATATGCTTTTATATCAAATTTCATATTCTTATTTGTTGGCTCTTGTAAATTTATTAAAGTTTAGAAACAAAAATTTCTTCACATGGCATCTCTTTTAATATCTAGACTTTAGAAGAATTTGGTGTGTGGTTCAGAGAAGAAGAGGCGGGAGTAACTGAGTGTCATCACTCACAGCACTCTTCTTGTTCACTTGGCTAGGTTATAATTGAATCAAATCTCTCCTGTAATCAGCTAAATAACGTATAATTATTGCAGGTTTCTACAATAAATCACTGGAGGGACTCGTTGACTGGGTAACACCTACCTTTACTCACAGGTAGGTTGACTTGAATGCA